GGTGGAAGTGGTCTCCAGCTACAAGTACTTGGGTGTACACATGAATGACAACCTCAGCTGGAGCAACAACACCACCAGCCTGATCAAGAAAGCTCATCAGAGACTCTACTTCCTCAGACGGCTGAGGCGAGCTGGTCTGGGAAGCTCAGTCCTCACCTCCTTCTACAGGTGTGCAGTGGAGAGCATCCTGTGCTCGAGCATCAATGTGTGGCATGGAGGCTGCACAGCTGCAGAAAGAAAAGCTTTGCAGAGAGTGGTGAAGGCTGCACAGAAATCTGTTGGAATCAGTCTCCCCACCATCACAGACATCTACACCTCCAGATGCAGGAAGAGGGCCACCTGCATCATGAAGGACCCCACCCACCCAGCACACACACTTTTTGCCCCACTCCCCTCAGGAAGGAGGTTAAGGAGCATTAAGTGTAGAACCACTAGACTGAGGAACAGCTTCTACCCTGAGGCTGTTAGACTCATGAATATCTAACTAGAATAATCACTGTGTAAAACATATCATGTTGCTGCTGATCTGTTTCATGTTGCTGCTGATCTGTTTCAATGTTGATGTGTTCATGCGTGCACATCTGCTCACAGACTCATGTTCATGTTTGTGCTGATGTTCAATGTTTTATGTTATGAGTGCTTAGTGTATATTTAGTTGATGTTTTTCTTAGTTCATATCTTAGATGTTTTTACTGTTTTTCTTATACATTTTATTGTTGGATGTAACTGGGACCCCGTGTACATAATTTCGCTCCACCACATGTACCACATGAGGTGCGAATGACAATAAAGAAACTCTGACTCTGATATATATATATATATATTTATATAGTGTGTGTGTGTGTGTGTGTAATGTATTATATGTAAACAATGTAACAAAATAAAAAGGATTTAAAATGCAAGCTATTTTTAGCAGTTTTACTACTTTTAGCTCAAGTTTTGCTTCTTTTAGTTTTAAGTTATTGTACTTTTAATTTTAGTTTTTATTGTGCTGCTATTTTTAGCTTTTAGCCATTGCTTTGATAATTCAATTCAATTTCAATTCAGTTTATTTATATAATGTTAGCTTTTAATTGCCATTTTGCTCATTTTAGTTCTGTTCTGCTCGTTTTAGCTTTTAACAATTTGGCTTTTGCTGTGTTGACAAATTTGAGCAGTCTTTCTGCAACAGTGTTCACACAGTTTTTTTTTTGTTTGTTTGTTTGTTTGTTTATTTTTACAGAAAATGCAATTTCTATAGTTTTTTTTCCACAAACCAGTCTTTGTTTTGTTCATATTTAATGAGTTTTTATGTCAAAGAACTGTTTGACTGTTACACTTTACTAATTTCAGCTGTAATTGTCTCTAAAAGCCACTGTAAACTCTCACTAGGGCCAAAGTCATCTGTAAAACTTATCAATTTCAGTATGTATGAAGTACTTTATAATATAATGTGAACAATTTCTGACACCAACCCTATGAGGATCCCAATAACATAAGCTTATACGCATGTACATTTATTCCTACAGGCTGATTCACAAATTACTGCCTGCTTTGAGTAGCTCCTCTGACACCATTCCTTTCCATTTTGTTCATTATATCAATAGTGTCAAAATGCACAAAAAACATTCCACTCTTCCCAAATATTAACTTTTTTGTTGATTTTTCTCAGCACATCTAATTTTTTTTTTTGGGCTCCAACAGTCATCTCCACTGTTGACTCAGTCCACAAGCGTGTTAGTTGTCCTCATTAACCTGTTTTGTTGTGCCCTTAATGAAATCTCTGAGGATTAACAATAGTTTAAATGAGGGTCGGGGTTGCCTTCCTTCTTCAGCCAGGTACAACACTGGACTTAACGACTTATCAAATATGACTGTCAAACTACTGTCAAAATATGAAAAGGAAAAACCACTGAAAATACACATCTGTTAATCCTTCAGCTTCTTTCACTGGGATTATAGGAGACACAACAATAAGGCAACTGTCAAGAGTCAGAATTGTGACTCAAATACATATTTTGCCTGGATGTGTAAATGATTAAATATTAAACCAATCAGCCTAAGTGAAGTATCAGTAATTGGCTAAGGAAGCAGCTGTTAACTATTAAATACTGCCCTCTGCTGACTAAAAGCTTGAATTACAGTCTTGTACATTTTATTAGCAAGTTTACATGTACTGTATTAAATATGTTGACATGAAAAAGTCCTCAAACATTTTAGAAGAGTTTACTTACAGTGACTTAAAGCGAAAATAGTCATTTTCAGATAACTTGTGTGTTAAAAGTTAAAAACATCCTTGAAGGATTCAGCTCAGCATCAACATGTAAGAAGCTGCTGATCATAAACTGGAGCTCAAAGGAAACTAAAGGCACAAAACAAGTCCAGTTGCTCCCTGGTGTGGTTGTAAAAGCAAAATAAAAGCTCGTCTCATTTCACGTTACAGCCGTCATAACCCTTTACATTCCTGAAAAACTTTAGGATAAACGAAAATTACAAATAATTCTAACACTATTTTTTATTTGCAGCTTTTACAACTTTAACCAATAATAAAGACATGGCATATCAGTGTCAGTGAGTTTTTATTACAATCAAATAAAACTACCTGGCTCTCCAAATAAAATGCCAACAATCAAATTAATTATGTACCATACATAGTTTCTGACTTTATTGTGTTTGTGGCAATGTTTGGTATTGTATCTTTAAGAACTACAAATCCAGCAAGTGGCTTCTGAACAGTCCACTCCTTTAAAATGACAAACGTTTCTTAATTTAAACACACTGTGAACGGCTTAATACTGCAAAGAAACCTGCGTCGATCTGTTCGAGAGGAGCCCCGTTCAGCTCATAAATTAATAAATTAAAGCCAGCATAAGCCTTCAGACTGATTTGTACAAATACACAGAACTATGTTAAACTAGACAGTAAATAAAACACAAGTATGAAACGTCAAAATCTAACAGATCACAGTAACGGCAAGCTGCCAGGAGGTGCCAGAATGATCCCGAAAACATAGAAAAGTCCCATGAGGAGGTTGAGCTTGGCCGTTTTCTGCGGGATCTTGGCATAACATCGACTCCTGAACTGTTTCTCCATGGGGAAGGCCATGGGCAGCGTGAGCAGAGGCAGAGCCATGCTGATGGTGTAACGGGTGGCGAGGATGCAGAACAGCACATACGGGACAAAGAGCAGGAGGTTGTAGAGGACGTAAGAGAGCGTTGGGCCTATAAGGATGGCCAGGGTGACGATTCCCGCTTGCTTGTCCGAGTCCATGTCTCTTGTGTTGTTGCTGTGGAGGATGGCCTCTGTGTTGAGGGCCAGCGGCACAGCGTAGACCAGCGGCAGCACCGACAGGTAGCCCACCTGCACAGCGTGGGCAAACATGACAGCCAGAGGGCCGAAGGTAATGAGGATTACTATGTCTCCTAGGGCCACGTACTTGAGGCCGATGCCTGGGAGAGAGAAAACAGGAACCCACATTTAACCATAAACAAGCTGCTCATGAGTCAGTAAACCTTCAAAACACAGATATCATATCAGGTTTCTGTCATTTACGCTCAGTGATCTCCTACGTGGAACTTGTGAGGTGAATTTTTGAGCAAACCTAACAGACAGTCTGAAAATTTACTCTTGAATGAGATCATTGACAGCATTCAGCACCTCCTCGTGATGACGTTTAGGGTCTAAAACCTTTGGCACAAACTTCCAATGCTCCAAATCAGAGCTGCAGAGACTGACATTAAGTTTTATTGAGTTAAAGCGTCCTTCACTTCCAGTACTGTAAGTACACATATGAGCCGATCATTACAAACATCTTGGTTTTTTTATTATTATTATTATTATTATTTTTAAATACTGTGTGTAAGACAGGGAATTTGTTTCAGATTTACAATTAGAAAATAATAAATCCGTGCTATTGTCTTAATTAGACAAGTCATGTTTAGAGTAACTGATAGCAACAATAATTGTCACAGATTGGTCTTTTTCAGCTGTGGCCCCTAAACTTTGGAACAATCTGCCCCCAACATTAAGACAGGCCACTTCACTTCCTGTTTTTAAATCTCTTTTAAAAACACACACGTTCTGACTGACTTTTAACACGGTGTGATTTGATTTACTATTTTATTGTTTTGTGTTTTACGTTTATGTGTAGATGTATTTTTTTCAACTTTGGCGCCTTGTTTTTTAGTATTTTAGTTGTATTTTTTTAATATGTTTTTTAGAATGTTAGTAGTTTTTTAGTATGTTAGTAGTATTTATTTATTATTATTTTTTGTATATTTAGTATTTTTGCTGCATGCTTTGATTTGATTTTTGATTTGAAAGACTTGCGACCTGGATATGGGCACCAGTGACCTCCTGCAACCCGGAAAGGAAGAAGCGGGTAAAAATGATGGATGGACGGAATCCAGTATTTTCTTTTGTCTTAAAATGTACAGTATAAATATCAAATGTTTGTCTGGCTTTTCATGCCAGAAAAGCCCCCTCTAACAAACTTAAAGTGGCCCATGGGCCACCAGTTGATAATGACACTTGTAGCAGGTGTAGTGGACTAGGCCCATGTCAAAAACTAAGTCTAAGGTCAAATCCCTTGACCTTAAGAACCTTGTGGGACAGGAACTGTCATTTCATTGATTTGAATCCAGAAATTGTGACTCTGGACACGTTAATTTAGTGAATGAAGGGGCAGAAATGGCTCTTTTGATCCTACAGGTTGCAGACCCATGGTTTAGAGTATAGAAACAATGTTTAGAATATAGTGTGGGAAGGGTTTAAAACTCCTTAATTACTACTGTAATATACTAAAATATAAACTACTAACTACTAAAATAAACTACTACTTACTACTTGTACCACTACTTAGCGGTTCTTCACTTATCGCGGGGAGCAAAGAACGGAAACACCCGCGATAAACAAGGGACTACTGTACTAAAATAAACTACTACTACCACTACTATTACTGCATACTACTACTACTTGTGTACATAATTTTGTTCCATCTCATGTACCACATGAGATGATAATGACAATAAAGTTTAGAGTACTTGGACTACTGTATCTCTACTTCAGTTTGTGCACTAATCGCGGGGGGTCGTGGCCATCGACACTCGTGATAAACGAGGGACTACTGTACACTCTAAAACAGATGAAGTACCTGATGAACATTTTCTACTTAAAATCATTTCAAATACATTATTTGCAGCTGAATGAACACACTTTCAGTGGTAGTTTTTTCTTAACGCAACAATGACTAAACTTTTTTTTTTTTCACATTACTGCAACGCTTACATTTAGATACTCAACAAAATGCTGCGCTGCTTACAACAGTTTAATGTAAGTGTCGTGCTTATAAATGTCAGAGGCTTAGAGAAAACTGGAGGCAACGTTTCAAGAGGTTTAGGTTTTACTCACCTCCAGTGTATAAAAAAGAGCTGGAGAGTCCTCCAAAGTAAATAAGAGCGAGATGCTCCAATTTAAGTGTAGACAGGAAGTAGAGCAGAGTGGCACACAAGCACCCAAAAGAATATAGCAAAGCGCCAAACATGACAACATCCTGGGGCACCAGAATTTCATCCACAAGAGTTCTATCATCACTCTTCTTATGGTCGATTCCCTTAGAGAAATCATAGTAGGTGTTAACAAGGTTTCCTGCTCCGTGGACGACGAGGACAGCCATGGCGCACACCATCAGGACGACCAGGTCAACAGAGCCTTCCAGTTTGTACGCCAAGGCGCTACCGAGAGCCACGGGTGTGAGCGAAGTACTAAAGCTCCAAGGTCTCAGAGCCAGCACGTAGGCCGCACACTTATGTCTGACGTCTGAGGTCACGCGGGCCATCCTCAACGTGTGCTTGGTTGCAGCAGGGTGGCTTTGCTGCGAGTTGTTCACATCAGGTTCCCACTGTGCACCATTATGACCATTTGATTCAGCCAGTACCAATGTCTCTGCCCTGCTTTGTCTCTGTTCTTTAGCCATTCCTCTGCAAGGACTGTACAGCATGAGCAATGTTCTCAAGTTTTAGTCTGGAGTTTCTGTGTGGGGGAAAAAAAAAAAAAAAAAAAAAAACAGCAGAGATAAGTTAACACACTTTAACGTTGGACATGGCGTTTACACTGCTTTCTATACAAATACGCTGTAACACATGTGTATTAAAAGTGTCAGAACAGTGGGTTGAATAAAAATGCTTTCCTATCGACTAGCAAACATCTTTTTTACAATATATTCAGGACTCTAAGAACTATAGACTCAAAAGTTTTCTTTTTTTTTAATGACTAAGAGTTTGAATATTATACAGTTAAAAATGTCTACAGGTACCCCTGTGAAAACTCAAGTTCAAGAGCCTGTGTTCAGTGATCTGTATATTCCAATCTGTACTGGAATATTTGATAATGAAAAGTGTTACAGCCCTGCAGACTTGAAAGTCCTGTGTTATGTTTTTGCATTACACTTTATTGGAGGAATGTAGACTAACTAGTTGACAAAAAAAACTTGCTACTACTTAAAATGTCTTGTGTTGTTAACAGTGTCAAACTCTTAACAATAAAAATGCATACTCCTAGCTCTATTTATTATTTTACATATCAATAATGGTAATCAGGCAACACAGTGGCGCAGTTAGTAGAGCTGCCGTCTCTCAGCCAGCAGGTCGCCCCGGTTCAAATCCTGGCCGGGGACCTTTCTGGGTGGAGTTTGCATGTTCCCTCCATCGATGCATGGGTTTTCCCCTGGTACTCCAGTTTCCTCCCACAGACCAAAAACATGCATGTTAGGCTGATTGTAAATTGCCACTAGGCGTGAGTGAGTGTGAATGGTTGTCTCTATGTGTCCCTGTGAGGGACTGGAGACCTGTCCAGTCCCCCGCCTCTTGCACAGTGATGGCTGGACATGGGCACCAGTGTCCCCCATGACCCGAAAAAGGAAGAAGCGAGTAAAAGATAATGGATGGAATAACAGCAATCCTCTGGATCAAAATGCATTGTAAAGTCAAGGCTCAAACTAAAGAGATTATATTCAGAAAACTGGCCTTAATGTCTGTTTAACATTGAACTTCTTGACTGTGCATGTAAAACAATATAAAAAAAAATAACTTCCAAGAAAAACATAAATAAGAGTTCATATAACCTAAAGGCCTTTCCTCATTCACAATCAATATGTTCATATCTTAAATGTCACACTTCCCAAGGTAGTTTCAAATGTATTTTAGATACTGTTCATTAACGAAATGTTAATATTCGTAAAGAAAATCGTACTTAGCCAACTTCTCATTTCAGATGTCTGCATTGTTTATTTAGTCAACAATAAATTCATTTGAACAGTTTTATATTAAATCCCATCCCATCTATTTTTAATAAATATCAACTATATTTGGGGGCGTTTGTATTTACATTGTTGCGAGCTATTGAAGTGAACATTAGATCGCACTCAAACAAAAACGACAGGATTTGTAGGAAAATACATGAGATTTGTCGTGTAGCCAAGACAGATAGAGACAATTTGAGATTATAGGATTAAAGCTAATAGGCTAACCCGCGAGCTAACGTTAGGAGTTCAGGGACAGATGGGAGGAAATGTCCGACGCCAGCGACTCGTACCTGCTACGTCCTCAAAGTCCGACTCGAGCTCGGATTCTTCTCACTCACCAACATATTTCTAAAAACACGGAACCTGGCATGGACAGAGACAGATTACGTGTCAGTTTTGAAGAATCGTGACAGAAGCCCGCTGAAAGTCCTACTACACTTCATGGACACTTTTCGCTTATTTCCTCCGTCACGAGTGCAACGTCGTCTGCTGTTCGAAGAAACTGCATATCACATAAATTAGTTCCGGCGTGAACACAAACCCTCAACTATTTTCAATAAAGATTAAAAAAAAAATAAAAACAAACTCAGCTAAACTTTCCACAGCGCTTTGTCAACGAGTGTTAAAAAAAAATCAGAAACAGCCATTATGGTCTGTATTCATACAAGAACTCCAGATGTTAAAACTTTCATTAGACAGTGCTAAAAAACCACAAGCAAAAAAGCTCTCTGATCACCTCGGTCAAATAATGCCATCTGACAAATTATTTTAGTAATTATGTAGAATGTTAGATAGTTTTGTGTTTTTTATTTTATTTTACTTGTACCATATTATTTGCAAATTCTCTGATAATAATATTATCTAAATTTAAATTTATAATGGTTAATATGTTGATTTCTTTAAGCACATGTTGACCTTAGGCGGTACGACAGGAGATAGTTTTACATGTTTATATGTATCATTGTCATTTGAGATTGTCATTTGTTATTTTGTTCTTGTGTTCTGTATGTTCAATAGTTCAATAAAGTTAAAAAAAAAGAAAAAAAAGCAGAAACAAAACTATAAACATAAATAAACGAAAAAAAACTGGTTACAAAAGTGCAATTTAAAAAGAAAAATTAAAAAATCCCAATAAAAGCAATAAATAAAGAATTAAAAGAAAGGAAGTAGTTGTATGAGTTTAAAAATAAAATTATACATACCATATAGCTAAGGTACATGCTAGCCTCGTACTTACCCAGCATGTGCCCTATCAGGTATGTCCCTCATTAGTACTAGGTACATATGGGTTAAGTAGGCATGTATCCTGTAATTAATTACCTGATGCATAATACGACATACCTGGTACTTACATGGACTATACTTATAGGGTAAGTACAGGGTACTTGACAGGTAATTACGTGGTTATTAACTGGTACTTTCAAGGTAGGCCTACATACCTGCTACCTATTGGAACCAGGTATGTATCCGGCTGTGTTATGTATAGTAATTTGCTACCAAAATAACATTTAAACAGATGTCACAGGCAATGATTACAAATACTAGTTAAAATGAAGTGTGTTTAAAAATGTTAAGTTTGAGCTTAGTATAAAACAGAAAGTTTGTTGGTGTCCAGAACCCAGACATGAAGTTGGCTCTAGAGTAGCGGTGCTTGAGGTTCGGAAGCTGATGGCTCTCTGCCTTCAGCGTTCTTGTGCAAGTTAACCCAAAATTTACAAGAAATCGCTTAAAGATAAATGATTGTACAGTAATCAATCTTACAGCAGAAAACAAAACAAGCACCTGTTTCCTGTTTCACTTTGGGAAAGATTTTTTTTCTTCATTTTGGAGATATACCATACCATACCATACCATACCATACCATACCATACCATACCATTTTATTTATAGAGCACTTAAAACTGCGACAAGACCAACCAAAGTGCTGTACAGACAGAAAAACAGGCAACACATAAAGCAAAATACAAAATGAGGTAAATCAGAATAAAGACATAAAAACGATGCAGATAATAAATATGACGACAAACCAGTGTGGCGCATACAGGTTCAAAACACAGATCATCTGGTGTTGAAAGCTACTGAATAGTAGTGGGTTTTTAAACGGGACTTGAAAACCGAGAGGGAGGGGGCCTGTCTGACAAGCAGAGGCAACTCGTTCCAAAGTCTTGGTCCTGCTACAGAGAAGACCCTGTCACCTCTGCGCTTAAGATGAGTTCTTGGAACTGTGAGGAGCCTCAGGGAACGTGGTGGGACATACGGCTGTAGCAGATCAGAGAGATGGGGGGGCGAAACTGTTCAGTGATTTGTAGACATACAGGAGTATTTTGAACTGGATTTGAAGGTGAACCGGCAGCCAGTGCAGTGAGGCCAAAACTGGAGTAATGTGCTCTCTTTTGCCTGTACTGGTTAAAAATCAGGCTGCTGCATTCTGGACCAGTTGTAGTCGTGCAATGGAGGTCTGACTGATACCAAACAGGAGTGAATTGCAGTAATCAAGCCTAGATGTAATGAATGCATGTATGACTGTCTCCAGGTCATTTTTGGATAATATGGGCTTCAGTTTAGACAGCTGCCTCAGTTGGAAGAAACATGATTTAACAATGTTTACATGATTGTTAAGTTTCAGGGACGGGTCCATTATCATGCCCAGATTAGTGACTCTTTGTTTTTCTGACAGGGTTAGAGCGGAGAGGTCGATGCAGTGGTTTGTGATCGTGTCATTGGGAGGGAACAACATGACTTCAGACTTCTTTTCATTGAAACTTAAGAAATTTAAAGCCATCCAGTCCCTGATGTCAGCCAGGCAGTCGAGCAGAGGTTGAATAGAGCATGTACCATTGTGTCTTAGGGGGAAGTAAATTTGACAGTCATCGGCGTTGAAGTGAAAGGGCATGTTGTGTTTCCGGAAAATAGCACCAAGTGGCAGCAGGTATGAAGAGAATAGGAGGGGACCCAGGATGGACCCCTGTGGAACCCCCCATTTAAGCTCTGTTGCTGCAGAACATAAAATCCTTGATGGATCTGTCAGTGAGGTAGGATCTGAACCAATTGAGGGCTGATCCTGTGATGCCCACCCACTGCTCCAACCTAGCAATGAGGATCTCATGGTCGATGGTGTCAAAGGCGGCTGTAATGTCCAACAGGACAAGCAGCACAGAATCACCGGTATCAGTGGTTAAGAAAATGTCATTAAAGACCTTCAGCAGGGCAGTTTCAGTGCTGTGGAGAGGTTTAAAGCCAGATTGGAATAGCTCTAAGATAGATATGACGTGTAAAGGCTGTTTAACCCTTATTTATTGTGCGCACTGAAAGATAAACCCAGCTGTCACACTCAGAGGTGCAGTAGCACTAATAAATAAAAAGTAATTAATTAAATTGAATTAATAATAATGAAAACTAATAATAATTTTGGAACTCAGAAATACAGCAGTATAAATTTGACCAGAATATTTAATATCAGGGAATCCATTTCTACAGAATTCAACATGGATTCAAGTGATAAAATCATATAAAAATGATATAGGATGTGTCAACCCAACACTTAATTTCATCTTGTTCTCACTTGTCTTTTAGTTTTCATGAGCTGTCAATTTTATTTATTTATTTTTTTTTTGGTCGCAACACCAGAGAAGTGAGGCTTCTCAAATCTCGAGGGTATTCCGGTGTTTACTTTCACATGCTCTAACTTTTACATGAGTTCTCTGAAAACACTGCTCAGACATCTTTGCTAAGCATAAATGACGCTAGACTGAACTCCAGTGTACAAAGATGACCTCTGACCTATGAGCCAGTGCAGCCAAGACAGACGTCTTCTCAGTGATAGGAAGAATTTGAAGCTTTACTTACAAACATGTGGCTTTTTGAGAAGAGAGCATGGATCAACTTATCATCTTAGGTTACTTGGAGGAAAAGTCTTATAAGAAACATTTGACTTTTAGATGTCCAAGTTTTAAAAGTTTGTACTACTTCTAAATTTTCAACTTTTTACATTCTTGCCCAGTGCCCGCCCAAGCCTCCATGGGGCCCTAAGCAAATTTTGTTTTGGGGTCCTCTATTTCTGCTAATAATGCAGATTACTGCAATCAACAGTCAGATGATCAGATCATTTACTCACCTAACACACTGTAACTCTGACAGCCCTGTTTACATTATTCTTTATGTATATAACATCTAGTGCATGGGTGTCAAACTCATTTTCATTTTGGACCACATTAAGATCATGAATGTCCTCAAAAGGCAGAATGTATTGATAAAATGACCTATAACAAACTGCTAATATCATTTTCTCTGCATTCAGTGACTACTTCTAAAAATTTAATATTTTATGTTTGAGTAATTTTGCATTAAAAATAAAAAAACTGATCTGATTTGACTGATAAAGTAATACTGAAGCTCAAAACTGTTATCTTGAAGTGTTTCTGTGGCCCTCTAGGGTGTAAAGAGTCACAGAAATGGTTGTGGTGGGCCGGATTTGGCCCACGGGCCTTGAGTTTGACACATGCGATCTAGTGGTACTAAAAGTAACAAAAGGGGAAAAAACACCAGTGTGTAATGTATTTTACAACAAAAGTGTCATCTGGCTTATTATCTTTGGTTCCAAAGAACTGCAACAGTAATGTTCAAAACAATTTGTAATGCACGCTCAACAACAAGCAACAGATAAAATAACTTAGATGCATAAAAATAAATTAAAGTGTGCAAAAACAGACAAAATTAAATAAAATTAAAAAAAATACATCAAGGAAATACTTAAGAAATGTAAATGAACAATTACTTGAAACCACGTAAATAGTTTAAAAAAAGAAATGTAAAGTTGAATAATTGGTTCTTAAAACCATTTAAATGTATGCAACAATTTGCAAACGCTGAACTTAAAATATTCAATAGAATCATATAGAAATCATTACTAAAAATATATATTTATATTCCACTTAGGGGGGCCCCTAGTGGTCCCAGGCCCTAAGCAGCTGCTTGTACTTTGGTCCGGCCCTGTATCTTGCCTGACAGGTTAAGTTATGCTGTGATTCATAATTTGACATGAAAAATGTCCACAGGCCGTATCAGTTTTTGTGTTACGATTTCTACTGAATTCATCACTTATTTGTGGGAAATTGCCAAAACTTATGTCAACAATTTTTGTGTGTCCATTTCAAAATCTTATGTCAGTATCTTGAGATTTTTGCAGATGTTTTTTTTTTGTGCATTTGTTATTTAATTAGATGATTTTGTGTTTTGAAGACATATTGCTCCTTGTGTTTTCATTTGATTGTTCTTTGTGTTCAGTTCAGTTCCTCCGTGTCATCAGTCATTTTTCTTCTGTCAGTTTTTGCTTTTCAGCTCTTGTCTCCTTTTACCTGTTCCCAGTTGTCATTTTGCCCAGATGTGTCCACTCTGTTCATCCGCTCATGTCCATATCGTCTCGCATTTTTCACTCCACGTTCAGTCAAGCATGTGTGTGCTTTATGTAATGCCCAATTCTCCTCTGTGTCTCCTTGACTTATTTTTTGTAAGAAGTTGCCGCCACTTCAGGTTTGTGCATGTGCGTGTTGAATAAATCTCAGTTTTTATTGAGTTTCTCACATCAGTCTGCATTCCTCAGTTCAAACCTCTGAGTCCGTGACAAATGTATAATGAACTGCTGGAGAAAATGTAATGAAACTTGCAGAAAGTAATCAGTGACAGCTGACTAACTGTTTGGACTTTTGGATGGCAGATGTTACAGCCCTGATGTTTTCATGTTGTTTTACAACGTACAGTACTTTGTCAGAGGAATGTAGACTATTTGACAAATAAAGTGTTGCTGCTAATAAAAGTGTTTTGTCTTGTTAACAGTGAAGACTAACATATATGACACTCATATCCCTAAATATAATTTTATACATCAGTTATAGCATTCTTCCAGATCAAAATGGTATTTTTACTGAAGCAAAATCAAAATTACCACTTCATTTGTGATTGTATTAAGAAAACAAGTTTAATTGTTTAACATTCCTTTGAGTGTGGTAATGTAAAGCATTTAATATTTGAGTGCTAAATCAGCATTCACAATATAGTTTTCTTGTTTTGTTTCGTTAGTTCTTCCTTATATTTTTTTGCAAACTACTGCTTATGTTAGTCATTCGTATATCAAAATGTTCTATGAGCTTTATGACGTTTGTCTAATTTTTTGTTTAGCGAATTAGCGTTTTTGCTAACTTTGGAAACCATCCATCCATTTTCTTTACCCGCTTCTTCCTTTTCAGGTCACGGGGGGTCACTGGTGCCCATGTCCAGCCTCGGTGCGAGAGGCCGGGGGCACCCTGAAACTGTAATTATGGAAACAAAATTAGCTTCTGCCAAACTTTAGGTTCATTAACAAAACTCCCCACTATGCTCGTGTCTGTTGTGGGCATGTCTCAAAGAGTCAGGCAAGCTTTTACCTGTACAAGAGAAACCTGTGTCCCAATTCAGCGGATGCATCCTTCGAAGGATGCAGCCGCTGAATTGGGACACAGCTTTAGTTCCTTATAGGGGTTTAGCATTAGCATTAGCTAAGGTTTTGTTTACCTGTTTAGCGTTAGCAAAACTATTTTTTTTTTAGTCAGCAGAATATTGGCTAGCAAAGCTAACATTTTGGTTAGCTGTGCCCACCACTGGTTTTAGCTAGTCCTTTGCTATCATTAGCTTTTAGCTACAATTCTATACTTTTAGCATTTGGTTAGTTTCCTGCTACTTCTTTCCTTTTGCTAATTTTGATTTCTAGCTAGCCTTTAACCACTTTCAACTTTTAGAAAGTCTTTTACTACTTTTAGCTTTAATTCACTCTTTTGCTACTATCTTTGCTTGCTACTTTTAGATTTTATCCTTTTTCAACTTTTACTTTTGCTAGACTTTTCGTGTGTGTTTTGTTGCTTTCAGCTTTAACTGTTTATATATATATATATATATATATATATTCCTTTTATCTTTTAGCTAGTGTTTTGTTGTTCACATCAAGGACTCAGTTTTACCTTCTTCGGCTAGTTTTAATTGGTTTCCAGCATTCACTCTGAATTTTCACAGTTTCATTACGCTTTTGTTTTTAATCTAAATTTGAAGTTGTAATAGGGAGGGGATGGATATAAACTGTAAGAGAGACTAAAAACAATGAGGGTGGGTGTCGACCCCCGTGCGTAAAGATCCTAACAACGCCACTGCTCTGCCTCAGAGTCTTTGCTGCTTTTCCTCCAAGCAACTCTACATCAACTTGAAAGAGAAAAAAAACGAACAGCGGGTCTGGTTCTGCTTTAGCTGAGCTCTGAGTGGGACGGTTTGCTTTTCATTACATAGTCTCGACACTGACCCTGTGTCCCAGCTGCAGGACGGCGCAGCTGAGAGGAGTCGAGCAGTCTGCCCTGAAGGAAACTCCTCATCCCACCATCCGACGGCCGCGTGCCATGATGGTCAGGAAGAAGTAAGAGCCGCGGGCATGGATGGAAACGCTGCCTTGGCACAGATCTAATAGATTTCTTTCCCTCCTGGAGGTGTGATCCTAAAACAATGGCGTGCTGTAGAGGTTTACGCAGCGGTGCCAGGAGCTTCACTGCGCTGCTCAGCCTTCTGCTCGCAGGGATGCAACTAACCACAGCCTTCCCCTCCTGGAGGTTACAGGTATGCTGTACAAACAAATAAAGAAATACTTACACTCCAAACTGTGGAGGATTATTGAACATGGACTTTGGTGTACTGTGCACTCCAAACTTTATATAGCTTTAAATGTCTAATTAGTTTTATTTGAAGGGCAAAACTTTACAGTTTTGTCTGCTCTCTTATTAAAAGCCAATCATTTACATCAAGTTTTGCATTTTAACTCCCTTTCGTTTCAGTCTGCAGGAATTGTGAGTTTTAATGAACTGATAGTACCCTCACAACACCAGCAGTAACATGTACTGCAAACTGTGAAATAAAAATTAATAAAAGTTATCCTGAACTATCAAATAGTGCAATTTGGAAGATTTTACTCTGGTAGTTTTCCAGATATATTGATATGCGGTTCTGAAATGCAGGTACTCACTCAATGTAAACAGAGCATTTTGTTTGCTTCATTCAACAAATCTAAACATATACGTCAATGTCAAATTGTTCTACAGACATTGCTGACCTATTTTCAGTCGCTTCTGTTGTTTAGGTATATTAAATTTGCTTGTGTCTTGTATTTTAAAGACACATTAACCTTCAATATGAGGAAATATTGTCACAATTATGGTTCATGCTCTGATTTTTTTTTTCTGTTTAATTGCTAATAATTTATTAATGTTAAAAATTCAGTTTCAGGTTATAATAAAGGTGCACAGGAGTTAAAACACTCGTATTATTGTTAAATTGTTTTGGCCAGTCTTGTTACACAGTTTTAAAATGAAAAGTAAACCTTGCACGTTATACATCAAATGTGGGGCTCGATCAGTAATAGTGTGCTGTGACTTGTGGTAGCATGTAACAAAACAAAATATGCAACAACAACAACAACAACAAAAAACTGCAAGAAAAATATGGAGATCACTTGGATTTTGGCAAAACACATAAGAAAACTATCTGGAGCTCTGAAGCTCAAACTCACTTCATTCACTGTAGTAATGTCATTAAAATTTAAACGGGTCAAAGAAAATTGGGCTTTACATGTGTGTGAACTGACGCTTCGATATCTTTTATAACTTTTACACAATAACAGCTTAGGATTGACGATGATGTCACACGCTTTAAATTTTGAACTGCCTAAAATATTTAAAACATTTTCAAACCAAACTCTTTTTGCTCCTGCAACTTCATCCATCCATCCATTTTCTTTACCCGCTTATTCCATTTTGGGTCATGGGGCCCATGTTCAGCAATCACTGTGCGAGGGGCCGGGTACACCCTGGACAGGTCGCAAGTCCATCACAGGGCCACCTAGAGACAAACGAGACAAACAACCATTCACTCTCTCACTCACACCTAGGGACAGTTTAGAGTTACCAATCAGCCTAACATGCATGTTTTTGGTCTGTGGGAGGAAACCGGAGTACCCGGAGAAAACCCACGCATGCACGGAGAGAACATGCAAACTCCACCCAGAAAGACCCCTGGACCAGGGTTTGAACCAAGGACCTGCTCGCTGAGAGGCAGCAGCTCTACCAGTTGCGCCACCGTGCTGCCTGGGGTGGAAGTAATGAATTACAAATACTCACCTTACTGTAATTAAGTAGGTTTTTTAAGGTACTTTTACTTTTATGAGTATTACGTTCAAGTGTGTAATTTTACTCATACTTAAGTACAATTTAGACCATGTAATCTAACAAAGTCCATGCTCAATAATCCAGGTATACAATCCAACAATTTTCAGTCAGGTCATCTGGACAGTTTCTTTTTTTGTGTGCTGAAACATTTCACCTTCCATCCAGAAGGCTTCATCAGTCAAGGAATCACAAAACTGATTCTTTCCCCAACAGCGTACTCCACAAACCAGTTATGTTGGTGCTAAAATGGTCTCTTTGGCACGCCACTTCCTCCGGTGCTGGTCCTCTTCCTCGTCGACAGTCATGTCAAACTGGTTCAAAACCAACAAAGTCCATGCTTTGTAATCTACTTCGCTACTTTTAAAATCAGAAGTCGCTACTGAGTACAGTCACAGTTTGAATTAATGTTCAAACCGTTCATCTTCATCTTTGTAGCCAATAAGACTCTCAGATCGTGAACGCACCAGTTACCCATGAGGTAAGTAAAGGACAACTCCGTAGAGTAGAGAGTCATTCGTGGATCGAAGAGTTGGAGAAAAAGCCAAAATGGAGACAGAGGACAACATTGTCAACAGATAAAATGACGAGGTAAAGGCTGAGGACGAGCGCCCGTGGTCGTACCTGGAGGAATGTTTCATGTACAGAGGGTGAAAAAGGAGACAGAGTCCAGATACAAACTTTGATCTCTACGGTGATAGCAGCTTACAAGACTTCAGCAGCTAAACTCAAAAAACATATTGTGGTATACGAGGTTTTACAGCTACCTGTATGATATTGCTGTTTTATTGTTTGTATGTGTGGGTTTTTAGTTTGGCTAAGTATGCAAATATCTTAGATAGTGTCACTGCCATCGGTTTTCCTGGTACTAAAATAAGCCGGAGCTTCTGAGCGTCTGAGAAATGAACTTTGAATATAGCTGTTATTTACAGTACATCAAACTGAATTACTTCTATTGACAACACAATAAAACATCAAGTGGTTAAAAAGTAATTAATACTTGAGTAGTTTTTGAGAAGAGTATTTTGTACTTTTACTTAAGTATTTTTTTATAACACCAGCACTTTTACTTGTAATTGAGTACAATTTAAGCAGTGTAACAGTCTTTCCACCTCTGCTCTTCCATCGCCTGTCAGCTGGAAAGCAGAGGTCGTCTTGACCTCGTCTCTGTCTGATAAGCATTATAAAAAACACTTCTTCGTACTGTCCGTGGGCAGACCTCGCGACCGGAGCTTCGATGTAACATCTGTGTAAGCCTGTGTGTGAAACTCTGCCCCCTTGCAAGTAGACTGGGTCGAAAATTCTTCTCGTGTCCTCAGCGTGGCTTATTTGAGTAAAGAGATGATGAAAGGATATTTATTTTATCCAACATAAAGAGTGCACAGCCAAGCTTCTAGACTTGAATATTGTATTCCAAAGTATTCTCCTCAAAGTCACTATTTAATGATCCTGTTAACTAAAATAGCATATACCGTATTTTCCGTGGTACCCGTCGCATCGCCCTATAAGTCGCATCAGTCCAAATATGTCTAAAAATGTGGAAAATTTCATAAATACGTTGCTTCGCCATATACGCTGCATCTATTGTGTGTCACCGCTGACGCGTCTCATTTGTTAGGCGTCACTGCTGACAACCCGGAAATGTGGGCCGGTGTGCCAAAAATAAATGGGCTGCCAAATGGTGACCGCGGGAGCGTGCACGGGAGGACTTTAACAAGAGTTTAACATGATCAACACTTAAAAACAATTATTTGTTAGCTCGACTTTATAGTACAGGTGTGTCTCAGTCTAACTTTTCCTTAATAAATGCACTTTGACGGTTGCTCCAGGCAAATGACGGTGGCAGACTATGGCAAGGCAATTGTGTCATTAATAGCCACTTTTACCTATTACATGATACAACGGCATGCCATACTGCTTGACTGCCATCTAGTGGCTGAAAATGGTAGTGTTCAATATTTTCAGTCTGAATGAATAAAAACGGTCATATCTCAGCCAAAAATTGGTTCATAAATATGGGATTCAATCCATAAATACGTCGTTTCGGCGTATAAGTCGCGGGGCATGCAAATTATGCAAAAAACGTGACTTATAGACCGAAAAATGCGGTAATCGCCATAATCTTTCTTTAAATGCTATTGAGATGGGGAATTAACAACAACAAACAAAAAAAAAACATGGAAAAAAAATTCTCATTCTGACAAATTTTGCCAACACATTAATTCTCTTTATGCCTCATATAAAGTTTATACGTCCAAATGTAGGAATTGGGTGCATTGTCATTAAGTCCTCAGCAGATGGTATCAATAAGTTCTGCTAACAGACATCAGATTGAGTTCAGGTTAGGATGAAATAGGACGATGAGCTGAAGTCTGTTATAGCTGGTAATATCTTCAGTGGCTTGATTAAATGTGTTCCTCCACATGCTTCCATCCTTGCCAACCGCCCACTGTGTTAGTGAGCCTGAGGGAAAGCTCTGTCATTTCCTTCGCCACACGCTCTCATTACATGTCAGTCAAGAAGACTGCTGGCCGAATGGATAGCTGCCTCAGATAAGCTGTCAGGCTATAGCATGAAGAGGCAGCACGTGTAAAAGAGGAGATTTTGAGTGGACAAATTAAAGTTACAACGTTGCCGAATTAGATTTAAACTGAAAACAATGAAGCATAACAATCCAGATGATGTAAAAGTCAATGCAGAAGCATACAAATCCCCATCTGTTCCTCTATAATCCTATTAACATGTCACATTCGTTTTACCAAACAACTCAGCCGACTGAAGAAAAGTCCAACAAACACTTTGTGTTTTTAATTAGTACAAAGTGCATCCTCTGTTGAAGCAGACATTTCTTTGTTTTTGAGGCTAGGACACACAGTTCTTATCCCGTATTTAGCAGTTTGAGGCTAACCTATTCCAGACTCCCCTCTGAATCCTCAGAGATTTCTCCTCAGACGTTTCTGCTCTCTCTGCGCCTCAGCACACTCTTCTGGGTTTAAGGTTTAGTCTGAAGGGTTCGCTTTCAGTTCTCGTGGTTTGTGATTCATCTCCACCTGAGTCAGAGTGTGAGGAGGTTTGAGCTAAAACATAGAGTGGTGGTAGCTGGTAGAACTGTATAACAATAAACTGAGTGTTATTACATCTCACACTATCACATCACAGTCTTTTACAAGATTTGATCAAAGCGACCATAACTGTAAGATTCCTGCAAGCGGAGCTAAGCCTTTAATTTGAAAACAAACCCAGTGACGTTATTTCGCCATACGTAAACTGTAGACTTGAGGAGACAGATTAAACCCTCTCAGAATGAGCACGGCCCCCTGAGATCCTAAAAAACATGTCTGACATGCCTCAGCTGTTGGACACGCCAAAGCTTTCACATTTCATTTCAACCTCAAGCGTAAAAAAACTGGCCATTGCTGAACATCGTCTCCATAAAACGTTATTTTATCAAACATTTGCTGCCGCTGTTGTGGAATTGTGGAGTTGAGGAGAACCACATTTTTGACTTTAGACAATATTTATAGAATTGCTAAAAAAAATAAAAAAAAAGATAAAAACCAGATCCTTGATGCGTCTAACAAAAGAATAAAAAGTAAATAAAAAAACATTTTAAACCGTACTAAAACTGTGAAAAGGACCAAGAATAAAAGAAATGTTAAAGCTGCAACCAGTAGCTCATTATGGTCACCATGGTAACAACACACACGTGACTTTCTGGCTGTAAACTTAAAGAGACAGACATAAACAGACTAAAAATTAAGCCTCAAACAAGAAGTCTCTGAGCAAGAACTACGAGTCAAAACTCACAAATTCTTAAATGGTAAATGGACTGTACTTATACAGCACTTTTTTTATCTAATCAAGCAGAACACTTTGATTAGGAGACATGTTTTTATGTTTCTCCAGTGATTTATGTCAGAGATATAACAAGCTCAAGAAGACCCTTTAATGGAAGAAGATAATACATTGGATTAAAATATGATTGAAGTCTGTGGAAGCTTGTGTGTGCACTCGTTACATTCTGGGGGATTTAAAAGAAAGCCACAGCTACTCTGGTGGTAGGTGAAGAAAGACAAACATACCAACAAGTTTATGTAAAAATCACAAAAGATGTCAAAATGTCAGTTCAGACACTTAAATCCCAATTTTCTGTGAGCAGTTTGAACCTTGATTGATGTTTTTAATGTGAAGCTGAGATGTAGCGCTCCAAATAGAGCTGGGTTTTCTCACCAAAAAAAGTCCATGCTCAATAATCCAGGTATACAATCCAACAATTTTCAGTCAGATCATCTGGACAGTTTCTTTTTTTTTTCCTGAAACATTTCACCTTCTATCCAGAAGGCTTCATCAGTCAGGGAACCAAAACACACAACGCAAAACTGATTCTTCCCCCAAACAGCTTACTCCAAAGTGGAACAAACCAGTTATGTTGGTGCTAAGATGGTGTCTTTGGCACGCCCCCTCCTCTTGTGCCGGCCCTCTTCCTCATGACAGTCATGTCAAACTGGTTCAAAACCAAAATAAGGGTTTTCTCACGTTTCACCAAAATCCTATTGATCTCCGTTGCTTTTTTCATGCAGTTTTCTTGCTAATTTTATCTACGTTGTACAAAGTACTGTTATTAAACGTTGTAGCACTCTATTCTGCAACCCAACAATGTTCAGTCAGGTCATCTGGATGGTTTCTTTTCTTGCGCTGAGATGTTTCACCCTTCATCCAAAGGGCTTCATCGGTCTGAGGAAACACCAAACAAAACTGCTTCTCCCCCAACAGCTTAGTCCAAAGTGAAAAAAAAAACAGTTATGTTGGTGCTAAGATGGTCTCTGAGGCAGGCCTTCTCCTCCAGTGCCTGCCCTCTCCCTCGTCGACAGTCATGTCAAACTGGTTCAAAACACCAAAGTCCATGCGCAATAATCCAGGTATAAAATCCAACAATGTTCAGTCAGTTTTTTTCCACTTCGGAGCAGGTTGTTGGTGGAGAATCAGTTTTGTTTGGTGTTTCCTTTGACTGATGAAGCCCTTCGGATGGAGGGCGAAACGTCTCAGCACAAAAACAGAAACCGTCCAGATGACCTGACTGAATGTTGTTGGATTTTATACCTGGATTATTGAGCATGGACTTTGGTGTCTATTCTTCAACATTTGTCAAGACAGAATAATATAGAGGTGCTTCACTGATAATCCTTTTTCACCCATAATGTTCGTCAACACAAATGTAGCAGCTGTAGTGAAATGCAGTTTTAGGTTTTCTTTGCACAGTGAGGTGAATCATTAAAGCTTTTTGCTTTGTCCAAGGAAGAAGCTCACACCGCTGTGCTGCTCATCGGGATCCGCAAAGAGGCCCGCTCCCAGGTGCTTTACCTCTCCAGGAACAAGCGCTACACTCTGACCCCGGAGCTGCTGAAATGGGACAAGTTCAACTTGACATACAAGTATTTATTCACAGACTGCCCTTCTAACACCCCGACCGGCGCACAGTTGTTAAAAAAAATGCATTTTAGAAAAAAGGAACAAAAATAAATAAATAAATAAGGCGAACCTTAGATTGGTTTTGGATGAAAAACATTTTATTTTCAAAGTCTGCATTTGATTGATCGCAGTTGTGAAGCTCTTTGAACCTGACAGCTGTTGATGTGGTTTAGCTGCACTTTAAAGGGATATTTTATCCAAAACTAAAAATCCTGCCATCTCACTCATCTGTTCCAGGATTAAAATGTTATTGACCAAAAGTTGGTCTAAGCCATCACCGTGCAAAACTCTGGAGACACATTTGAGGAGAAAAGGAAAATTAAGAAGCACAGAAAGGACTGCAGCGCTCCCCGTGCAGTGGCTGCGATCCAAAGCGATTTGGATTGTGCAGCAGCTAAATGTTCGGAGAGGTTCCAGCAACTTGACTCCCTTTGGAGCCGTAAATGATCCGATGGGGACCTGAACGAGACGTGTGAGGGCTGTGCGCTCAGTGGTTTTGATGAAATCAGCTAAAAAGGCTGAAACTGAGTTATTAAAGTTAAAACAAGCAGAACAAAAGCTCAAACCTAAATGAAGCCAAATGATAACTAAAAATAGCAAAAGGCTACCTAAAAGTAGCCAGAAAATAGCTAAATGCTGTAGAAATAGCTAAATATTAGCTAAAATTAGAAAAACACTAGCTGAACCGCATAAGGTAAAACAAAAGTTAAAAGTATCAAAGGCTAACTAAATGTTAAAAGTAGGCAAAAGCTAGATGAAAGCATCAAAGTGTAAGCTTGAAGCTAAAAATAGCAAAAGACTAAAAGTTAAAAGCAGCAAAATGCTAGCTTAAAGCTGCACATATGAAAAGGTTTGCAAGAAATTTAACAAGAAGCTAAAGGACAAAAGTAGCACAAAGCTAGCTAAAAGCTAAAAATAACAATAAACTAAAAGTTAAAAGTAGCAAAACACTAGCTACAAGTATCAGAATTTTTTTAAGTGTATCAAAAAAACAAGGTCAAAACTAAAAGTTACTAAAGACTGGCTAAAAACTAAAAATATATCAATATTGAAAAACCAAAAGCTTGATATATCTAAAAATAGCAAAAAAGTTACTGTACGCCAAAAAGGGGAGCAACGCTGAAGCAGATTTCAAAGAGAATACAGTACATTTTTTAAATTAATACTGTAGAGATTTGAATATCTTTCTATGGGGAAAAATACTGGTTAATAAAAGTAACAAAGTTAAGTCAGGTCCTCTGGACGGATGCAAAAATAAAAAATAGTAGAAATGTTTCATCTTTAATCCAAAAGACGTCGTCAGTCTGAGGAACTGTAATAAGCTCAGTCTTATAAAAAAAAACATTTTCATGGTGGATCAACAAGTTTTTAGTGTTGACATCCAAAACTAGATGTGCACATAAAAAAACAGGACCATCAGCCTAATGATCGTTAGTGCCCTGATGGCCGCTTGTTGTTCACAGGGGACTGAGTGATACTAGCAATAACAGCATTGAATTCCTGACAGCAGAGCAGAAACCCAAACAGGACTCCAGCCAGCCATCAGGTGAACCCAGACCAGTCGTCAGTGTTGCAGGAGTTTCAGAAAAACTGAGACATTTATTTTCTAAACACAACGTCCCAGTGGTTTTAAACCCCAAAATACATTACGGCAAAGACTGGTTCATCCCAAAGATCCAGTCCCCCGGCACAAACAGAGTAATATTGTGTATGTTGTTCAGTGTCAGGAGGGCTGTGATCAGTCTTACATCGGGGAAACAAAACAGCCACTGGCCAAAAGGATGGCCCAGCACAGAAGATCAACATCATCAGGCCAGGACTCTGCGGTCTACACTCATCTCCAGGCCAGCGGTCACTCTTTCAGGGATGAAGATGTTCACATCCTGGACAGAGAGGAACGATTGTTTGAGAGAGGAGTAAAGGAGGCCATCTTTGTGAAAAGAAACCATCCATCATTAAACAGGGGTGGAGGCCTCCATGTTCAACTGTCCCCCTCTTGCAATGCTGTTATATCACTCAGCCCCCTGCAAATAGCAAGTGGCCATCAGGGCACTAATGATCTTGTTAGGCTGATGGTCCTCCTTTATCATATCTATTTATAAGACTGAACTTATTACAGCTCCTCAGACTGACAAAGTATTTTGGATTAAAGGCGAAACGTTTCAACAATTTTATTATTTTGTACTTTTTGCATCCATCCAGAGGACCTGACTTAACTTTGTTAGATTTTTCCACCTGGATTATTAAGCATGCATCAGGATATTGCTTAACAAAGTCAAATATTTTAAAAGTACAAAAGTTAGAAAACACAAAAGCCAAAGCACCCATCTCCTGAATGAACGTTTTGTAGCTAAAATAGCAGAAAATATGCAGAAGTAGTCAAGACTGCAACAAATACACAGAACAAAAGAAACTATAAATTATTGATAACATCCATGACAGAAATCAATCTAAATATTGCACAACGTTTTATTGAAAGTATTGGCAGAGCTCTCTCCCTTGCTGAAATGAGAAAGAATCCAACGTTCCAGTAATAGAGCTGTATTTGCAGAGCTTGTGGGAATTGAGTGTCTCAACAGTAGCTGCTGAGTTTTGGATGCTTCCTCTGCTATGGAGGAATGTGTGCAGAGTCCAGTATTAACAACACCACGCTCTTGTTCCCCTACAGGGTGCTCTCTTTCCCGACAAACTTGATAAACGCCAGCGACACGCACCGAGGCATTGCCAAGGCTTTTAGCATGTGGAGCGACGTCTCACCGTTCACATTCAAAAGGGTGCCGGCTGACCAAGAGGCAGACATTAAGATTGGTGAGTGCTCTTCTTGCAGCTGGACTCGTCTCAACAGATGTTTTTAGACTCTGAGGTCAAAAACTCTGCTTTATTGTTGGCTTTTCTTTTTCCTGCTGTTTTCGCCCGTGTGTGCTCCTTTGTGTGGCTTTCATAAAGAAAGTACCTCTTGGAGTTGACTTGATTCAAGATGGCCACCACAGCAAAGGGGTTTTAGTAAACACAAAAATGGCTATAACTTTACGGTTATGCTAAAATTTGGTTTACAAGTAGTTGAGAGTCATTCCCAAAACTCACTTCAAGTGCTTCTCATTGTGCATCGGTGTTTACTGCAGGAGTAGCTCCTGTTACCGTATTTTCTGTTAGCAAAATATGCCGTGAAGGTAACTTCCACAGTTAATTGATATCAGCCAACACAAGAAAATGCCTATAACTTAGTTGGACAACTAAAATTTGATGTGGTAGTAGCTGAGAGTCATTCACAACACATACTCTGTGCATAGGATTATGCAAAATTGCATAAAATTGGTAAACGTATACAGTAGTCTCTCGCTACTTCGCGGTTCGTTTATCACGGACTCGCTCTATCACGGTTTTTCAAAATAAGATAGGACAAGACATACAATTGGCTGAATGATGGATGAACCACACGATCGGCATGAAATTTTTATTTAAAATAAATTATTTTAAATTATTTAGCACCTGCTGCACCTTTGTGCAGCCGATACTGCAAGATAAGCGTCCTCCTGCAGCTGAACAGCTGATCAGCTGTTCTCCTGCAGAGCATAGAAGTGGGTGTGGCCAAAAACGCTTGCAGGTGGCTGAGAGCAGCGAGACAGAGAGAGCGAAATCATGACATTCTTTGCTCTTTTAGAGCATTTAGAAACAGAATATTGCAAGAGTGTGGGAGGGGTTTA